GAGGCTCCGCAGCTTCTTCCGCAGAAGGCAGTCTGTGAAGACTCAGTCCCAAGCCTGCCCCTGGCAGGGCTGCAGAAATCTGCAAGATGGGATTTTGTTTCAAGTAATTTTGCAAACTATTAATATTTCAGCTCAGCTGGCCAGCATCCAACCCATGCCACCAAAAAATCAACAGTGAAAGGAGCCCTCAGTCAGAGCTCTGCTGTTTTACTAATAAACAGGGTCTCAAGTTGGCCGCTGGTTTTTCTGGCAATTTGTGAAGTGGGTATCGATACGGTGACACTGGGCGGGCTTAGAAGCTGACGAAGCCCTCTGCTAGGTGAGCCCTCGCAAGAGCAGTGGAGCAGCAGTTGGGAGGTCGTTCTAAAGAACGCTGGAAGGAGCAGAAATATTTCCAGGATACATGGCGGGCTTGTTTCTGACCCACAAAGCAGGACAGTCGAATTCTATTTCATTTTCGTTGACTAGACTTTTGTCTCCATTGTTGATAGGACCCATAAGCCAGGCGTCTTGGTTATTGGGACTCGGTTATCCTCTTCGTGGGTCACGGTCAACTAAACTCAAGTGGGTCCAGCTCTAGGTGGATGAGGAGAATTGTGTCCTTTGGCCCCTTTGCAGATCCTATCTGATAAGCACCGCAAACTCAACTTGTCCAAAACAAAAGGCAAACCTGGAGCCGCTCCCTGACCCAGGGGCTTGCTCCTTCAAGGTACCCCTTACCTCAGAGACTAGTTGTACCATCTACCTGGTCCCCAGGGCTGCATCATCTTTAACTCCATCTGCCTTCACCACTTATCGCAAAGTCTTCTCCAACCCTGTTGATCTCTCCTGTTCACTCATTTGTTTAGTAAATGTTCATTCATTCCGTAAGTGCTGTTCATTATCTCCCCAACCAGAATGTAAGTTCTATGAAGGCAGGGTTTTCTGTCCTGTTCACTGCTATACCCTCAGAGCCTACAGCAATGTACAGTATTTAGCAGGAACCTAATATATATTAGCTAAATGAATGTTATTTAGGATCATAACCACGTGCTTTATTACGGCACACAGCCCCTTAGACCTGGACCGTCTTCCTCTCTAGGCTTATGTCTCCTAACTTCTTGCTATTCCTAAAATGCCCTGTGTGCTCATGTTTTTATCCTTGCTGCTCCCTGGAATACCACCCTCCTGCCCTTCCTTGTCTAGCTGATTCCTACTCCTCTTTCAAAACTTGACCTTGTCCTCTAGCAATCCTCTCCCACCCCACCAGCTAGCTGGGTTGGGCACTTTTGGTTTTGTGCTTATTTACATCATAGCGACTATGGTGAATTATTATCATTATTAGCAATTATTATGATCATTATTCAGTTATTGAGCTCTTGTTATCAGAAGGCACCTTAAACACCCTGCAAACATTATCTCATGCTACTCTTACCACAGTCCTGTGAAGCAGGTATTATTAACCCCATTCGTCATGTTAAAAAATAAAATCTTTCTCTCAAACCCACCTTCACCTATAGCTACCATCCCACATTTTGGGTTCCTTTTAAGGGAATAAAGGGATGTTGAATTTGGCTCCTAGCTCATCGTGCTGTCCTTGGATTCCTTGCTGGCTTTTCACCTCCCTGGTATCTGAGAGTCAGAGTGCCACATGGCTTGGTCCTTGAACCACATCTTTCTCTCACTCCTCTTGTGATCTCATTCGGTTTTGTGGCTTTAAATTCCACCTACACATCCCTAATCCAGACCCCTCCCTTTAACTCAATTCATTTATGCAACTGCCTATTCAACATCTCCGGAGAGGTCTAGTAGACGTCTATCTCAATTTTAACATAGCCCAAATGTTAAAATGATCTGCCCTCCAAAACTCCCCCTTCTCCATCTCAGTTACTGGCAACTCCATCCTTTCAGTTACTTAAGCTAAATTTTCTTGTATCCCACATTTGATGCATCAATGAATCCTGTTGGCTCAGCCTTCAAAATATATCCAGAATTCAACCACTTCTCACCACCTCCCCAACTACCACTCCAGTCACCATTTGTATTTCTTGCCAGAAGTTTGGCGAGAGCCTCCCAAATAGTCCCCTGCTTGCACCTTTGCTCCTCAACTAGCAGCCAGAGTGGTCCTGTTAAAACTTAAATCAGGGCCGGCCAAGTGGCATGTTGGTTAAGAGTTGGCTTGGGACGCCAGCTTTGAGCAGCAGGGGCCGGTTTGGAGCCCACATGGGGGCCAGTGATGCTGCGCCCTCTACAGCTAAGATGGTGAACAACAGCTTGACCTGGAGCTGGGCTGCAGGTGAGTCGCCAGTGACGACGTAGGCTGCAGTGGGGCTGGCTGGTAGCTGGCATGAGCTTTTGTGAGCTGCCCTGAGCCACTATGAGCAGCCATCCAATGGCTGGCGAGCGACTACCTCACCCAGGAAGAGCGCAATAATACCAACATGGGCCAGTGAAGCGACATCCTCCACAACTAGGCTGAAGAACAAAAGGACAGCAACTTGTCTGTTCCCCTTCCCCGATTCCCCGACATTGTCCCTCTTCCCCAATTCTCCAATAAAATCTTAAAAATCAAAAACAAACAAAAAAACTTAAATCAGATCATGTCATTCCCTGACGCAAAACCCTCCAATGGTTTCCTTTGCACTCTAGGAAAAGCCTGAGCTCCTACAATGGTCTACAAGGCCCTGTAAAATCTGCCTCATCCCTACCCCTCTGACTTCATCTCCCTCCGTTTCTTCCCAGCCACTCTGGCCCTCTGGTGGTGTTTCTCAAACACACCTGTCTCGCTCCCACATCGAAGGTCTTTACATTGTGCTGTTCCCTCTTCCTGGAATGCTCTTCCCCTAAACATTTGCTTAGGTCACCCACTCATTTCTTTCAGGTCTTTGTTCAAACATTACCTTCAGTGATCTTTTTATGACCACTCTATTTAAAACTGCAATTCCCCTCCATCACCACCACTGCACACAAACACCCCAGGCCTCCTTTTTCTACAAGATATGCATCATCATTTATATATTTAGATTGTCCCCACACAAGAATGCAAACTACATGAGGTGGGGATTTTTCTATCATTCATTTACTAATGTGTTTCCCTAGCACCTAGAGCAGAGCTTGGTACAGAGCGAGGTACAGACTAAGTAACAGGTGGAGAAATGAAGGCTCGGTCAAGTTTCTTGCCCAACGTCTTACTAGTATGTGGTATGTTGGATTCTAGAGCTTTCATTATTGCCCTTAAGTTACACTTTCCCTGTTTATCAACCACAATCCGGAGAGCCAAAGGGGAGCTCTGACCTGCAGGCTGTGATCTGAGATGCAGGCTTCATCCTGCTCACCAGGTGAGGGCAGTTCTGGTTTCACAGGTTTTCAGAATACGTCGGGGTATCCTCCTGTCTCGGGCCAAATGGTTTAAGAAATCCTCCTCCCTGGAAACCATCCTGGATAATAAGAGCCAGAGGTTTTCCTATCCATACTGTCTGAATAGGGCTACCCTATTCCACTACAGACCATGTCTGCCTTCCCACCAAACTGTCCTTAGCCTGACTGACATACCAGATACTCATTCACACCACTGTGGTCTTGAATCTGAAATTTTGGGATACAAGTTCTCTGTAGTTTTCTTTGTATAGAACCTAGGACAGAACTTAAGGCCCACACGTGATACTTATTAAGCTTTCTGCTAACAATAATAGAACACTCAAAACCAGGGGTCGGCAAACTGCGGCTCACGAGCCACATGCAGCTCTTTTGGTACCATCCGTATCAAAAGTTTGCCAACCCCTGGAAGAGCCGATCCTGTCCCTCACAATTTAAAAATTATTCAAGAGCCATAAATATATTTTTATATAATCACCGTTATGTGACTAATATCCTTAAAATTTTTTATAAATGAAACTATGATAGTTTTATTTTCATTTTCAATTTTACTTCAGAGCCTGTGGCTCACGAGCCACAGTTTGCTGACCCCTGGCGGCTCTTCCATCTCAAAAGTTTGCCAACCCCTGCTCAAAACAGTCAAAGCTAAAATATATAAAGTATACATGTACAAAAGAATACAAAGGATTGATGAAAAGACCAAGCAGAAGGGGGCTTCCTCAAGAAGAGGAAGACTACATAAAGAATTAGGGGTGGGCCTGTCATTAGCACTAAAATCCCTAGCAATCCCAGGAATTCTGCTCCTATCCTGAACAGGCAGAATTTACTAGTAGCTCTCAGACTTCAGCAAAAGGCCAACTCAGATAAAGGCAGTTTATACACAGGACAGAGACTCTGCTAGATTCAGAGATCAACCCTGCTGCGGCCAGGCCTATTATTTCACCTGAGGCCTCGATCTACTTCATTGTGCCCCTTGCATATCTACCAAGTATTAAGGTGCAAAGTGGCACCTCTTTCCTTCCTTGGTTGGCCTCTCTACTCCTTCCCCTGACTGGTCAATACCTCAGGAAGCTACCAGTATCCTCTGGCCATCCCTATGCCTCTGCTATTCATAAACAATCACATATTAAAAAGATCATTACTGCTGCCACAGGTAAGGAGGACCGAAGAGAAAGCTGGAGCAGACCAGACAAGCCCAAGATAATCTGAGGTTATGAAAATGGAGAAGCAATGGTTCCGAATGAAGCTTCTGAGGGAACACCAGCCAGGACCGGGAACACTCGGGAGTGGAGCAGGAGGGAGGCACTGAAGAAGACTCCGTGAGGGAGGCTCGGTGATGGTGGGGGCATCACTCAGCGTTAGGGCTGCTGCTTCCTCCCACCCTTCATGGCCTAGCAACTCAGTTCCTCTAGGTGCTAAATTTACAGCTATGTAATAAATGACACAAGTTTTGTCAAATCAAAGACAAAGTACATCAATCTGCATTGGCAATTTTTAATGTTTCACTTGTGCAGAACTGAAATTTGTATTTAAAGGCACAGAAGGAAGGAGAGGCAGTTATCACAGCATGAATTCACGATAAAGGATGCTGGATAAAATCGCAGGGCTGCTCCTCGTTAGCCATAGGAAAATAAATACTGCAGTACTAAACTAGATCTTTATTTTTATTACATTTCCATGTAAAGACATCACCCAAGTATGAGTTGAGCAAAAGACTTTCAGGCCAGATACCGAGGGTGCGCAGTTGATCCCACTTTGGAATAAACGCCTAGAAGACAAGCGTTACCAGTGGGTGGGAGTTTAGGCACAAAGAGTTCTCATTCAGGAAGTGGACAGAGATTTGAAGCAGTCAAACACGCAGCTTTGAAAACTAGAAAAGAAATCTTTTGAGGCATTTGTTTTGAAAAGAAAAATTATCTGCCTATTAAGAACTGTAATTTTTCAAAAATAGAACCAGGCCTGATTAAATAGTACTTATGACTTATTGATAAAAATTACAAAAATAAAAACTGAAACTCTTCTGTCCTTGAAAGAGATAGAAAACTATATTTTTTCCTATTATATCATAAGAGAATTGTCAGTATTTCACCCTTATGTCTCTTAAAATGTCATTTCTTCTTTCCACATTCCACCACTTTAAAAATAGCAAAACCTGTTCAATATGGCAATATCTGCTAAGTGAAAGGATGCACTGTAATTGAATAAAAGAGTAGGAATGAGGAAAAAACTGAATGTTTTGAAAAATACTAGTTTATCCCTAATGGGATTATACCCACCAGGTGGAAGAAAAGATAAAGATTTTCTTAAAAACATAACCCAATGAATTGAAACATTCTAGATATAATTTCTCATTTCAAAGCACAGTTGGAAATTCCTGATTGGTATGTACCAAGAGAGGGAACAGAGAAATTTGGTAGAACAATAGGGCATATTTCCGACTACTTTCATTTAAATAACATCAGACTAACCAATTACTATCTTTCTTCCTTATTTAAAACACTGATTAGCCAGGTTAAATCATAAGAGTATGAAAGTAACAAGTCTCAACTTAGATCTGAGCCCAACGACTGGGTGTCACTGGTTCTGTATTACAGAGAGGACTCAGGGGTTGGGTGTCCTCTTTTAAACATACGCGCATATGCCCCAAGACACCTTATATGCACATTCTATGTAAATGTGTGCATAAAGCGAATTCTGTATTTCCTCAAATAATTTTACAAGCTGATGGTAAATGCAATGTTAAAGATAAAACTATGCCTTTAAAAACATTAAGCCTTAACATTTTATCCAGTGTTTCCTTTAAGAAATGATTAAAATAATTTTTAAAATGAAATATTAAATGTATTTAAATCTGGGCTTTTCTGTACTTAATAATTTTTCTTAAAAAAAAAAAAAAGTTTAAAAACATCAAGAGCCGGAACATGCTGCCAGGACAGAAATAATCAGAAATGTCTTCAGTCGCAGACCCTGGACAACTCATTCTTGTTTTGAAGTTTTCAAAGCTTGAAGTCTCTCTAGTAGTGGAGGATGAGAATAATGCCACATTGAAAACAGCCAGTCAGAAACAGGGAATCCCAGGTTATCTTTGTTTAGTTTGATTAAAGCAGAATATAAGTCTTTAGCCTTCCCAAGTTTCTTGGCAAATGCATCCGCTTGAAACTCAAATCTGCGGCTTAGGACGGTTAGGCAGAAAGAAAGAACCTGGAAAAGTAAATAAAAGGGTTTTAACTACTGCCCAAGCCTTTGTTGTCACTGAAGGTTTTATGAGCTAAGACTGGAGAGGAAGTTCAGCTCAGGATAACAGAAACAGCAGCCCAAAGAAAGAGAACTAGTATTTAGGGAACCTAACATGGGGGCGTTATTATAAATTGAGTCTCTCCCTCCTCAAGCAAAGACCAGACATT